CACGGAAAAAAAAAAAAAAAAAAAAAAAAAAAAAAAAAAAAAGGTTTCCCAAAGATTTTACACACATTGGTTTTCAACCTCCAAAGATCCCGTGGAGATGGTGGGGCAGGTGTTTTTACCTCCTTGAGCAGGCAATGGCCGGGAGCTGCTTTGCATATGGTCACCCACACCGGAGCCCTGGTTTCCTGCACAGAGCTGCCCATGTGTCACCAGGCACACGCTGTAAGACACACTCTTGCTCCGGATGCTTGCAGGACAGGCTCTACTGAATCCTGAAAAGTCCATGAACTAATTTAGTTAGAGTGATATGAAACACACTTAAATGCCTTCTCACCACTGGAGGTTCATGAAGCACCTCAGTGTCCTGGAGAGCTGAGGCGTCTGTTCTCATGTTCTTTAGGTCCCTTGCACAGTGTGGACAGCACAGGGATCGGTCTTTGACACACGCTGGGAATTTATATGAAATGGTTCCCTGTCTCTGAATTCTCCTAAAAATGGAAATGCAGAGCAAGCCCGGGGTCATGGCCTGTGGTTCCTCAGGGTGGCCTGTCAGGAAAGCCTTTGGCCTCTATAAAGTGTTCCTTGGTCCGTCCTTTCCTTCCCTTTCCACTGTTCCCACCTGCGATGACTGTGGCCTCCCACGTGTCCCACCCATTTCCCAACACCACAGCTGTCACCTCGGGCTGCAGCTGCCTCTAATCACCTCTCACGCTGGGGACAGAGGGATCTTTCCAAAGCTTTCCTGTTCTTAGTGAGGACTGTCACAACAAAATACCACTGGGTGGCTTAAAACTATAGGAACACAGGCTGTCACAGTCCTGGATGCTGGAAGCTTGAGATCACGAGGTCTGCAGGACCACGCTCCCTCTGAAACCTGCAGGGAAGATCAATCCTTGTCTCTCCTGGCTTCTGGTGACACCAGCCGTGCTGGACGCTGCTTGGCTTGTATGCATAACTCCATTCTTGCACTTGTTCATTGGCATGTGGCCATCTTCCCCCTGTGTGTCTGTGTCTCCTCTTAAAAGGACACCAGTCACATTGGGTTCAGGACCTACCCTGCTCCAGCATGACCTCGTCTTAATTTACTTAATTATATCTGAGGTATTGGGGTTAGGACTTTAATGTGTCTCTTTGAGGGGACACAATTCAACCTGTGACATTCCTGCTGCTTACAGGATTGAGTGTAGACTCCTCAGCGTGGCAGGTGAGGTTCTCCGTGTCCTGTCCACAGCATCTGCTGCTCACCTGGTGGGTGACAGATGTGTCGCTGTCTGCTGCTTTTTGAACACTCGTCTTCCTAACCACCGGTAATGCTGTTCCCTTCGGCAAGGACAAGTCCCCTGTGTCCTCGACCAGTGAAGTCCTGTGCTTCCTCCTATCTCAGCTGAAACGTCTCTGGTCTATGATGCCTCCTGTGCCTCCGTCTTAGCTGGCCCCTACTTGTTATCACGTGGAGGTGGAATTGATTGCCTGACTCAGTCTCCCTGTGTGCAGAACTGGGCACGAGGCAGGCAGCAGTCCGTGTGGGATGAACCCGTTTCCTGAGACCCCCACCTAGTGCCACTGCTCCTAAATCCCCTTGTCTCGCTTTCTTTGTTTTTTTTTTCCTGGTGAAGTTATTTTTTCTCTCGAAAAAGCGAAACCAAGCTAACGAGCCAGCCTTGTCCTAACCAAGGCCCCTGAGACACCAGACACAGAGACCCTCCCCAGTCTACCTCCACCAAGTCCCAAGCACTCAGATGGCACCCACGATGGCTACGAAGGGCAGCAGGGCCCATCTGGGTCCTTGAGCCATTCACAAGGCACAGAGCCCAGGACAGGGGACATCCCTTGGGTCACATTCATGGTCCTTCTTGGAAAGAACTCCATCATTTTGCATCCAACTCTGTCTTCCTCTGCCCACCCCCAGCACACGTCTCTGCTTGGGTTGATGGATCTCTGTACCTGCGGCTCTCCCGGCCACCTCCCCCTGCCCCAGCTGTGTCCACCCTCTGCAGTCACTCAGTTCCCCCGAGTCCTGGGCATCCTCTAGACCCAGCTTAAGCGTCAGTTTTCCCAGGAGACCTGCTCTTGCTGCAGCCTGGGTGTCCCTCTGTGCAGATGTTCAGCAGATGTTTACTTAACACTGCCCCAGAATCTGGGGGTGCAGCGATCACAGTCTCTTTTCAGGAAAAACTCACAGTCTCTCTGAAGAAACAGACAGTGCTTCAAAACAGACTGATAAGAGGTATAGGACAGATGGGTGTGTGTCCCGTGCTGGGGGTGACAGTGAGAACTGATAAGTCTGGGGCAGAACTATGTGACTCTGAAGTTCTCTGTGGCTGATTTCTATTTACTTATTCATTTGGGGGGAAGGGGTTGGAGGCTTCCAGAGGTTCTGAAGCTTTCCTGCTGTGCTCCAGAAAAACTCCAAAGAAAGGCATTTAAAACAAAACTCCATTTTTGTTTCTTTTTCTCCTCAGTCAAAGGAAGATTTGGGCAGTTTGGGAGGTGAAACTTTGTTCAGGCTGGAGGACAGGGACAGGGGAGAGGGGGGACTGAGCAGGGCTTAGAGGGCAGGGGAACCAGGCACGTTCTCGCTCCTCTTGGGGAAGTCTTCAGAGAATGGCTACGTTGCTTAATTTGAAATAAATTTCCAGAACATTAGACACCCGCCTGTACATACAAACTAATTTTCAAATTTGTGATTATAGGAGCATTTGCATTTTGAATTCCCTGTAACAGTGCTGCCCTCAACTAATGCACTGAGGATCTGTGCCTAACCATGCATGATTGCTGGCTGGCTTTTAGATTTTTGTGCCATCTACAGGACATTTACCTCTCGAATCCTTCCTATTCAGTCCAGCACAGAGCTCTGCCCAGACCACAGCCTTGTGGACCCAAATGACTGCCACAGAAATGGGCAGAAGAGATGGGTCGATCCCATAATTCATGAAAACAAATGTCCTCAGTGTTCAACTGCAGCAAAGGGAAGTGTGGTTCAGTGGTCAGAGCTGAGGAAATTAGGAAGGCCTATTCTATTTCATCCAGCACAAACTACTTGTCAACCTTGATTTCATTCCTGTCGATTGAGAATAAAAGTCATCGATGGGTCAGGTCAAATGTTAAGTCCAAGGATAACTATTTTTAAGGTTTTGAATTGAAATCGTGACTTTCCCAAGACAAAGCTTCCTTTTCACTTTGATCCTGTTATCGACTGACATTTAAAAATAACTCTCTTCTTTCGTTGCTTTTTACAGTCAGACAAATACCCCATTCAAGACACCGAACTCCCTAAAGGTATGTACAGTTAATTCTTGAACTTGTGATTATTTTAATATCTCGAACAAAGCACTAGTCAAAGTAATTTTATATTCTTTGAAATTGTAAAACAGAAACCTACTGATGATTTAGCTCATGAATTGTTACATGATTATCTCAGAAATGAATTTCCTTATGAAAATCTGTAAATTATAATGAATTATACATTAAATTACGATGGTGTTTTTAACAAGCATACAATGAAGGTAGCCAAGACTCTGGGTTGCAAGTGACAGAAACTAACTGAAAGTCACTTAAGAGGGGCAGGGGACTTCTGGCTCAGGGGTTTCTCAGTGCTGCCGGATCCAAGCATTTCAGTGATGCTCAGGTTCAGTCTGTCCACCTCGCGGCCCTGTCGTCTGTGTTGGCTCCGTTCTTGGGGAGGATTTCACTGCGTGGAGGGAAAATGGTTGCACGTGGTGCTGCTGAAGGTGTTGGAGAAGAAGCCTTTTCTCCCAGTGCCCATAGCACAGTTTTAGGGACGATTAGGATTGAGACAGTTTGGGTCATGTGCCCATCCCTGAATCCATTATTGTCATCTCAAGGATGGAGGACATTGGCCAGGGCTGAGCCTTGAGATTGGGTGGGGTGGGCGTGGAGTGGGCTGTCCCCAAACCACAGGAAAGTGTGTTCTCTGGCTAGACAAGGAAGACGTCTCAGGCCCAACAGCAAGCCAAAAGACTCGAGTTATAAGCGTGGCACAGACCACACAAGTGGCCAGAAACTTCTCTCATAACCCCCTGCAGGGCTGGGTTCCACATGGAGGCCACGCTGCTGGCTGGTTGTCACTCTGGAGCATCTGCCTTATGCTCTGCTGACAACCTAGAGATGCAGGGTGGGGCGGGGTGGGGACAGTCAGATCTGACCGGCTGCAGAGGTGGCGGGGCACCCTGCTGTGCATGGTCCCTGTGGACGGGCAGGACTGCCCAGCACACCCGAATGAGAGTTTCCCTTGCAGGTCTCCTAGTTGTGGGTAATCGCAGGGAGCTCCCTGCCAGGGCCAGCCTGTGGTTAAGTCTGGAGTTCAGCCGAGGCTCTCTCCAGACTCTTCTGCTCCCTGAAATGACACCTTTAGAATGTCATTCCTTTTCTCTCCAGTACATGTCCTTGGAGTGACAGTGGTGTAGGGAATAGAGGCTGAGGCCAAGTCTGGGGCCAAATCCTGGCTGTCCTGGGGGGCTCCTGGCAAGCCCCCTCCCCTCGGCCGTCTCTGTGAATGACCTCCAAGTCTCCCCACCACCCCCCGATCTGGACTCTGTGTTTCAGCAGGACAGGGGAGGGTGCACATCAGGCCACAGGGACAGTGCAGAGGCAGTCTCGGGCAGTGGTTCTTAGACTTCAGTGTGCAGTGAAAAATCATGAGGGAGCTTGTTTAAAATGCAGATTCTGGGCCCTGTTGCCTCCAGATCATGATTTGGTAGATCTGGGATTGGGCCCAGGAATCTGCATTTTAACTCACACCTGTGTGGTTGGGATGTGGACCCCACTTTGGGAGCCTGCTTAAGGAGCTTCAAGGGTTACAGTAGAGAGAACCAAACGGCAGCCCAGCCACCTGGCTCTGAGTGGCCTCAGCAAGTGACTTCAGGTCTCAGGGTCTCGGTTTCCTTGTCAGTGCAGTGGGGAGGTCAAGGTTGGCATCCGCCTTATGAGAATTCAGTGAAATGAGTCTAGAACGGTGCCTGGCTCACATGAGCACCAGACAGGGCTGCAGGAAAATCTGGCCAAGAAGTGTGAAAAATCAGTTTCAAGGACTGTCAAAAGCTTTCAAGCAGAGTGACAAACGTGGAACTGTCATAGGAGGAGACCGAGCTGCAGTGACCCTGGCTGTCTGCCTCAAGATCTTTTTTTTTAATCACTCTTGAATGTAATTTCCTGTTTTGAAAGAAAGAGATAGTTGCTTAGCAACCTGCTACTACAGGAACCACACAATCGGGGTTCTCCTAGAATCTGAGCTCTATAAAACCTTAATTTAAACCATCATGAGTTTACAAGTTTACAAGTGATTGTGAAAACCCTGACCTTTCCTTTGTCCATATTCATGGTGAACGGTACCATTAAATGCATAATTTCTTATCTCCAAATAAATACATTAGTTTACAGGTAAAGGAGCCATGTCCAGAAGCTGAAAAACTTAACTCCAATATTTGCTTTCAATAATATATCAATTTGATAGGGTCAGTATTTTTCTTTAACATCCCTAATGGGGCCAATACTATCATTAGACATCTACGTAATTTTCTCATCCACGTTGTTTTTAGNATCCGAACCCTCGGACGGGAGCGCCACCGCGCTTCCCAAGCGGCGCACTATCCAGTGCGCCACCGGGCCGGCCCATAAATGCATAATTTCTTATCTCCAAATAAATACATTAGTTTACAGGTAAAGGAGCCATGTCCAGAAGCTGAAAAACTTAACTCCAATATTTGTTTTCAATAATTTATCAATTTGATAGGGTCAGTATTTTTCTTTAACATCACTAATGGGGCCAATACTATCATTAGACATCTACGTAATTTTCTCATCCACGTTGTTTTTAGGGAGAGAAAAATCCATATGAATTAGTGAAGAAACTATTTCACAGATTTAAAAGTAAAGGTAATCTAATTATATTAAGTATAAATTAGGACTCTGACATTTAAATGAGTTTTGGGGGGCCTACTTTATTGAATAGGGGAGTGATTTGTAATTAGCTTTGACAATTTCCATATGGTTGAAAAGTTCTCAAAATTTGTTTTCTTAAGCAGATTAAGTATGTTTCACAAAATCTTTATTATACTGTGAGCATATTCAAAGCTATTCTTTAATATGAGCCAAACTAGAGTGGTTTTGACTATTGTGGTTTTATCATCAATCAACGGTGGAAATTGAGTGTAATTTCAGTGATCAGCATGTGGTTTAGGGGTGAAATGTGTTAATATTATACCTGTTTTCCCTGATTTTAGAGATCTGGGGGGTTGTCTGTTAGGTTCTCTTCTGATAGCTGTTCTGTGAGCCTGCAAGTACTAGACTTAGAACTAACGTGTATTTCACATCACACGATTCCCTGTATCTCATAGAAGCCTCTGGCTTGAGTATTCTGGAGGGAACATGACCCTTCACATTTAGAGAGAAAAATGTGTTTGGAAAAAGAACTTTGATTTTTGAGCCACTATTCATAGGGGAAGAAAATTGCACATCCTTAAATACTCACACAAATAATCAAGATTTAATCATCTTCAGGGCCGGCCCAGTGGCGCACTGCTACAGTGCGCCGCTTGGGAGCATGGTGGCACTCCCGCCGAGGGTTCGGATCCCACGTACAGACCGGTTCCCGCTCACTGGCTGAGCGAGGTGCGGGCGCAACACCGAGGGTTGCGATCCCGTTGCCGGTCCCGGTCCGGTACGGGTGCGACACTGAGGGTTGCGATCCATTGCCGGACACGAAAAAAAAAAAAAAAAGATTTAATCATCTTCATTTTCTCCAGTGTTCCTGCTGTTTTCTTTCATTGCTCAAAAAAATATTACAGTGATTTTCAACGTTAAAGAGAGGTAAAGTAGATGGATTCTACTGTTAGTAATTTTGAGAAATATGTACTTAAGCACAGATGTTATTTTGTGAGTCTTTTAGGACAATTTGTTAATTAAATGTAGAAGTAGTCGTTCAGTTTGAACAAGTTAGGAGAAAATAAATAAGCACTAAGGAAATCACTAAATGGTTCGAAAGTAAAACTGGGTGTCCTTCTACTAACAAGACACTATCTTGTATTGTATATGATTTCCCTCCCCGAAGACTGACGTGGCAATTTGCTAATAGGTGTCTGTATTGGTCCATTTCTGTTGCTTATAACAAAATACCTGAAACTGGGTAATTTGTAAAGAAAACAAAATTCATTGCTTACAGTTTTGGAGTCTGGGAAATCCAAAGTCAGGGTATGCATCTAAGAGGTTCTTGGTGGGGAGTCTCTACAGAATCCCATGGTGACCCAGGGTGTCATATGGCGACAGAATCCCATGGTGACCCAGGGTGTCATATGGCGAGGGGGAGGAAGGTTTTTATATGCTCACTTGCTCTCCTTATGAAGCCCCCAGTCTACTCCCTGATAAGTCATTAAACCACCTAACCCATGAATCCATGAATGGATTAATTTGTTCATGAGAGCACAGTCCTCACAATCCAATCACCTCTCAGGTCCCCACCTTTCAATTACCATATTGGTGGTTAAGCTTGCAGGGGACATTCAAACCACAGCAGTGACCACTCTCCAAAAAACATTTTTCTTTTGTGCATAGGAGGGCAGAGGGGAGAGAGGACTAGGACCACGGGAGTGTTTGCAGTACCACATAAGAAAAGTTGCTATTTAATTAAGTCCTCGTATTGGAAGAAAAAATGCTTTTAAAACATGCTGGGTTAACAGATGACATTGTGAGAATTAGTGTAACTGTAATCACTTGTCTATTATGTTTCACTGTGGAGAGTCACACTTTGGTGTGCATGAGTTACCTGGGGTGCTTGTTAACAATGCAGACTTCTGGGCCCCCTGAGATTCCAATTAAGGGGCTCTGGGGTGGAGCCCCACAATCTGTGTTGTTAACAAGCAGCCCAGGTGATTCAAATGCAGGAGGGCTGGGGACTGTATTTGATTATCAGAAACACAAATCTAGGCCAGCTTTCTATTGCTCTAGCTTGGAAAAGGTACCATATGGAATTTTAATAAAAGACTGTGCTTTTAGTTTAAATTTCTCAGATAATACTATTAAGGGAAAGAAAATCCTTTACTCCAGCCAGAATCACATGAGACAATAAATATAGCCCCTTATTTGAACAAATCTAGCAGCATAGTGCATAGCAGGTGAATGAATGTTAGTGAATATAAAAAATAAATGGATGAATTAATCAATCTCTCACTTCATCTTGACTTTTAAACCCTGAGTTAAGTGTTTCTCTATTTAAGGCTTTATAACCGTAAAAATTTACACGATGCTAATAGTTTCCTTTATAA